GATAACAGAGTGAGAAAATGGGACACTGGACCCGGTTTCCAGTTCTGCCGAAGCTGGGTAATGGCCCCAGTATGTTCATCCGGGTTGAATTGTGATGTCCCCGGCCTCTTCTGAACCTGTCTCTTATACACATCTAGATGTGTATAAGAGACCACACACACACACACACACACACACAAAGGGGGTCCGAAATCCCCCGACAGGTGAGTGCGCTGGGGGGCCCCGGCCCCCAACCGGGTGCCCTGCCCGGCCAGACCGCCCGGGACCTCCCCCGGGCCCCTGCGGTCACCCGGGCGGCCCGGATCCCCACTCAGACTTAACATCTATTTACAGTACCACATCCTTCATTTCCTTTTCCACTCTTTTCCAAGGATTTTTGCTATTTTCGCTGTTGTTTTGAGTAACTAACTTGTTACACATGTCTGTTTAGCTTGTCCATGCTAGCTGATTTCATCAGCATGGAGTGACACCCGTCCAGCCAACTGGCTTCTGCATTCAGGTGAGATGTTGCAGAGCGGTTCAAGTCAACTTGGTTGTGTATTCTGCGAAAATTGGCGCTGGCAGAGAACATGTAAGCAAACCAACCTGTTGTAGGTGTTGAAGAAGGTGTAGAAGCAACTGTTAGGCAAAGCAGTCGGACTCAATTTCACTCTCTTCCTCAGTTCGTCCAGAGCTTTCTTCTCTGCCTGTTCACTCCTGCAGGGCAAGGCCTTTGAGGGGTCAATGCTCGTCATTGCCAATCATTTTTAATGAATCAGTGGATCAGAAGCAGCCTACTGATGAGCATACCCTTAGCAAACAAAGTGAAACACGACAGACAGACAAAGAGCAACAATACCAAAGACAACATATCAACATTTCCACCTGTGCAGAACTCCCTGGCCGAGGACAAATTGCCTTGCAAATCCTCTTCCTCACACATACCACGCAGGTGCACCAGACTGGAAACACCAACAGGGAGAACTTCTCGGAAATCCGATGTTGAGAGACGTTTCCATCATGCAACTTGTCTCAGATGTCATATAATATCTGCTCTGAAGGAAGGGTTAGGTTAAGTGTATGAATGGTTGTTCGCTCATGATGCAAACATACTACTAAGACTGGTTCAGTCCTTCAGTGCCCTGTAGAATAAGCAGGCCAATTACGATATTTTTTTGGAACTGTAAATTCTGTTAGTTTCTTCTCCCCGTCCAGGTCCTCCCCCTCCCCCCCCCCCCCCCCCTCTCTCTCTCTCTCTCTGTGTGTGGCATTCTGAGCCACACGGGCCCCAGTTAGGGCCCGGTTCCAGACAGGCAGGGTAGGCCTAAGGGACGACGGTTCAGATGAGGCCCAGATGGGCCTGGACCATGGCGGTTCAGGCAGGCCTAGGGTAGAGGCCCAGGCCAAACGGCCACAAGGCCGGTACCGGTCCAACATAGGCCCTACCGGCGGCGCTGCAGAGGCTGCCACATTTAGGCGCCAAGTCAAGTTTGAATCTGGACCGTCGATTCAGATCAACGGTCCAGGCCGGTAGGTACCAGCGGGTAGGAGGCCGGCCCAGCACTACAAAAGGCTGGGTACCAGCCTCAGTAGGTAGAGTTGGTATGGACTAGAGTTAGTCTTCGGGATTAGCGCAGCTTTGCAGCGTTAAGGAGATTAGAGCAGCGTAGCAGCGTTAGCGAGAGCAGCCAGGAGACGACGAGCGCAGCAGCGAGAGGAACAGCGCAGCGGCAGGGCCGCGCCATCGCTACCAGTCAGGTACCGGGAGGAAGGCTCTGCCTTCTCTCCCTCCGTTCCTCTGCCCCCAGCTCTCTCTCTCTCTCTCTCTCTCTCTCTCTCTCTCTCTCTCTCTCTCTCTCTCTCTTCTCCTACCTTCTCAGTCTAAGTCTACTTCTGAGTTCTCCTACGGGACTACTGCAGTAGGACGGATGGTTACGAATTCTCAAAACATTTGGAACAGCGACATGGGGACTACGAGTTGAGGACTACTTGGGGATCTGATTTCATCTTCCTTCTGAAGATGTACTTGATCGATATCTGAGATATTGTGAGACTGCATTCGCGACATTTCGGATTTTCGTCACTTCTGACATTTCAAGATACTATCTTTGGAAACATTGAGTTGAAGTCATCTCCCCTCTCCTCCTTTCGTCTCTCCCCTCTCTCCCTTCGTCCGTGAATGATCTCAGTCCCTGGCCTTTCGTCTGTGTCTGAGGCCACGGCCTTCACACCCTGATGAATGTTTGAGAGTGTTCGATTGCAGTCCGAGTCAGGTCCGAGTCAGTCCAAGGTATCTCATGTCTTCCGCTTGCATTTGTATTAACTCTGTATTATCTGGTCGGTTCTGGGAATCTGCGCCATACTTATGACTGTGTTTCACGAGTATGCAACAGTTTGGTATCGGAGCAGATCAGCATTGGATGACTCACCATTAATTGATTGATTGACTGATTGATTGATTGATTATCTACACCTGCACTCTGTTATCATTAAATCGCAAGTTGCAATATTTTTTTTCTTTTCTCTCGTACTTTCATAGTAATTAGGTCGTTAAATTATAATTTTAGGATTTGCGACTTTTCTCCATATTGCGCAATTAGGGAATCGCTAATTATGAGTAACCTAATTAGCGCTAATTAGGGTTAGTCCTAACCTAATCTAAACAGCCGATCTAACCTATGCAAAATAAGTGCCAGCCAGGCACCGCGCCGGTTCAGGCAGATCGGGCCTGAGCACGGCCACATTCAAATTGCAACTTCACGGAACTTTCACTTTTTGCAAATGCATCTTCTATGGCGATTAAAGTTTCAATTTTTCCAGCAAATTGTGTACCTTCCTGCAACCATTGGTGTTCTACTTGCTTAGTGACCTCGTAATGATGCTAAATTCTCCCGATTAAAATTTCGTGAAATTTTTGAAGTTATGCTTAAAGGTTTGAACTTGCTTAAACTTTATTCATTTTCTTTATTGGTGCAAATTTCAATATTCTTTATTGAACTTGAAGTTATGGCGATTAACTTTATTCAATATTTATGAGGATGTTTTCTTCCCGTCGGAGTCACACCGGGTCGGTCCATACTCCACGGCATCACTCTCGAGGACGGCGCCGTACCTCCGCGCGGATGTATCTACCGCATGAGCGAAGAGGAACTTCAAGTGCTCCGGGCACAACTAGACGACCTCTTGGCCAAGGGCTGGATTCGCCCTAGCTGTTCGCCATACGGTGCTCCCATTCTCTTCGTCCGGAAGAAGAACAAGAACCTTCGTTTGTGCATCGACTATAGGAAACTTAACTCACAAACAATCAAGAACGCCGGCCCTCTCCCTCGGATCAATGATCTTCTCGAGCGACTAGGCGGCGCCAAGTACTTCTCAAATCTTGACCTCAAGTCCGGATACCACCAGATCGAGATCCAGCCAAGAGATCGGTACAAAAACACGTTCAAGACGTGATATGGGCACTTTGAGTGGATCATCATGCTTTTCGGTCTCACCAATGCCCCGGCTACTTTCCAAGCAGCTATGACGACGGAATTCCGCGACTTGCTCGACCGCACGGTACTCATTTACCTTGATGATATCTTGGTTTATAGCCGGACGCTGGACGAGCACCTTCGCGCTGTATTGGAGCGGCTCCGTATCGCCAAGTACAAGGCGAACCGCAACAAGTGCGAGTTCGCCCAACAAGAGTTGGAGTACTTAGGCCATTACGTTACGCCGCAAGGCATTCGTCCGCTCGCGGACAAGGTACAAGCCATTCAAGATTGGCTGGACCTCAAGTGTCCTACCGACGTCCGCTCCTTTCTCGGCTTGGCATCATACTACATGCGCTTCGTCAAAGGATTTCAACGAATCGCTGCACCATTGTCGCGGCTTCAGTCCCCCTTGGTGCCCTTCGAGTTCAGCGACGAAGCCCGAAATGCGTTTCACACACTGAAGACGGCTTTGCTTCAAGCTCCCGTCTTAAGCATCTATGCCCCGACCTTGCCTACCAAAGTGACTACGGACGCTTCCGGTTACTGCATTGGCGCGGTTTTGGAACGGCATGACAACACAGACTGGCATCCGGTCGAGTACTTCAGCCAAAAGGTGCTGCCCATCAACACTCTTCATAATGCGAGGAAGAAGGAACTGCTAGCTTTTGTCACCGTAATTAAGCGTTGGCGTCACTTTCTCCTCGGGCGTCGACGATTCACCTGGGCAACGGACAACAATCCGTTGACGTATTACAAGACGCAAGACACGGTGAGCAGCACGATCGGTCGATGGATGTACTTCATTGACCGGTTCGACTTCACCTCCAAGCACATTTCGGGCTCCTAGAACAAGGCAGCGGATGCTCTCTCACGAAGACCTGATCTTTGCTCCTTGGTGCACTCCACATTCGGCCTCGACGAGAACCTGCAACAACATTTCACAAACGGCTATAAGTCGGATCCGGGATTCTCCACACTCTATGCGGACTTATCATCGGATCACCCGCCGGCAAGCAACTATCGCATCGTCGACGGCTACTTGCTTCTTCATACACGAGGCAATGACTTGTTGTGTGTTCCCCAAGACCGCATCTTGCGCACTCGCCTCCTTGGCGAATACCACGATTCATGGCTGGCGGGACACCTTGGCGTCGCACGCACACTATCACGACTCCGCCAAAGATTTCACTGGTCGGACATCATCAGCGACGTCAACCGGCACATTCAGTCATGTGCAGTTTGCCACCGGAACAAAGGGCGCCATCAGCTCCCGTACGGCGAACTGAAACCATTGCCGATTCCTCGAGAACCGGGTCTCTCCATTGCGATGGATGTGACCGGCCCTTTCCCTCGCAATCGCCTTGGCCAGGACAGTATTCTCGCGGTCGTTGATCGTTTGAGCAAGTACGCTCGATTTCTTCCATGCAAGTATCATGCGACGGCTCCCGAGCTCGCACGGCTCTTGCATACCGGCTGGTTTTGCAGCCACGGCGTTCCGGAAGACATCATCAGCGACTGCGACACTCGTTTCATGTCGGCCTTTTGGACAGCACTCATGGTGGAATCCGGCACCAGCATGAAACCGAGTTCTGCACGGCATCCTCAAACGGATGGGCAAATGGAACGCGTGCACCAGACTATGTAGGTGATGCTCCGCACACTCATCCGCCCGGATCAGAAGGACTGGGTTGACCGCCTTCCCGACATCTAGTTCGCCTACAACACTTCGGTGCACTCGGCGATTGGCATAACTCCATTCGAGTTGCACCATGGCGGACGGAAAGGACGTATCTTCGCAGACATTTTGCTTCCACGGGCTGCCAATATCGACGCCGCTTTCTCCCCCGCTTCCACACGGAAGTACAAGGAACTGCTGGCCAAAGCCCGCGCAAACATGCAAAAGGCTCAGGTCCGTACGCAACACCAAGCGAACCGGCGTCACATCCCATGTCCAATACGCGTTGGCGACCTAGTTTGGGTCACCTCCGAGGAATTCGCGCTTGAGCAGCACGTCTCGCGCAAGCTCCTCCCTAAGTGGTTTGGACCATGGATGGTCACTTCAACAGCTGGCGATGACCCCGCGGGTCCATCTTTCATCATTGAGATTCCCCCGCATTTGACGGTCCACCCGATATTTCATGCTTCAAAGCTGGCGGTCTACACTCCAGCCTCCACAGCGGACTTTCCGGGCAGACGGTCACAGGACCCTCCTTCAATGGATGGTCATCGGGAGGTCGACCG